CTCATCTCAACTGGCAAAATCGCGGGCAAAAGAGATACATCATCGAATCTTTACGCCTACAACTACGATAACAAACCCTACAAATGAAAGGTTTCAGCGTCTTTTGTTTTGCGTGAATGACACATTGAGAGAGAGCATGTAAGTGTGAGCGTGAGGGAGAATGAAAATGAGAGTGAATTCACAAAGAATCAGTCACAAACACGAAGACGAACATTAATTTTAACAATAATGCCCAAATTAGCAATGATATTCTTTTTAAATTATTTCAGCTACCACAATGAACTCAACATTTAATGATATGCACCGGAATGTACGAATTCATGAACGATGACATGAAAGATCCTTTGTAGGCTTCTCGCAATGCAAAGCTTCCTGGCTCCAAGATGTGTGATACAATCCAATGATTCTATTTTATCTTATTTGCAGATTCGCTACAAAATTATGATACAGGCATGTCTAGCGTAAGCATGTCAGACTACGTAAGACTTCATTGCCGGGGGTATGAAATGAAGTGAACTGTAAACGAAAAATTCAGAACTAAGCCATTATATTAAGCAAATCTGTGATGAGTGCTCATGAGAGTGCACTTATGATTAATAAGTGTCTAATGATTCTAGTTTAAAACCCTAGTCCTGCATTTATGAATGCATGTATATATAGGCTCATACCGACTCTTATGAAAGTTGTAGATCAAATGAATAACTTCCTATTGTTCGTCATTGCCCAGATCTATTTGGTGATTCACGCAACCCCTTTTTATATACGGCATCCCTGTGCACTATGATAATGCTTTATTCAAATAATAAATTTATACAAAATTGCGTTCTAACCCCACTCTACCTCCAATGGTGTCAACAACGATAAACAACCAAATTACAGAAAAACTCTCTCCACGTGAGCAACCGGCCGGAGGGAAAAGTGAAACAGTCACGACCTGCAACCTGTAGTGTGGCATAATTGCAAGGTTGGGTCGCACCAGGTCCACAGCCTTGTCCACGCTCATTCACCAGCAGACGCTTCTCACGACTCATTGGCGAAACCGGGCTGGCTTACACGGACACCTCTAGTTCCCGGATAGCCTACAGAGCTTACAAGTATTTGAGCTCCAAAATCTGGGCCGAGAGCATCGTCTCTCGAACCTTCAGTCGCACCACATTTAAGCAACATCCAGGGGGAGCCTCTCCGGCTCCCCTGTTGATCTCCACTCTATTTCCAATACTCAGCCATACCTTTGGAACTGACACCTACACAATCACTCCCAAAAGAGATATAGACATCAGTCATGTGCTAGAAGCAACCTCTATCTACTACAAGAGAAAGTATGCTCAGGTCGGGGCGAGGAGAGTAACGAGAGAAGAAGTGAACGATAAGATGTTCGTGATAAAGATAAACAAAATTGGTAAGCGAATAAAACGAACAGAAAGAGTGAAATAAATTGATAAA